CGGGAAATCGTGAACTGATTTGGATCTTTGCCATCCTTTCTCAGCATGTCAGGGAGGAGCCTGCGGCGGGCGTTGATGAACCAGTTACAGACCTGAAATCACAGGGATCTGCTTCAACACTTGGTCCTGTGCACTTGACAAACAGGTTCTGAACACATCCTATGTAGGGTGCCTACCTGACCTCCCTCTCTGAATTCAAGGAGGCATAAAGGGCTTATCTGAGACTGAGGAAGCAGTTCAGTCAATGGTAGAACATTTGCCTAGCATGCCAGGGGCCCAACAACAGCAAATGATTAAAGAAAGGAAAGAAAAAGCTTCTGGACGGACAAGTTATTGCGAGGCATTTAAGCCAAGTCAGCCCGTCACAAGTACAAATTTGCTTTGGATGTGTCACGGATGCAGGGAAAAGGTATAAAATCTCAAATACTTGCAAATAACTTTAAGGAAGGTTCACCTTTAAGTCTGCTTCAACCTCCTACCTACTGCCCTAGCATTTAAGTTAATCAACTACAGGGAAGCTTTTCCTGTATAAAAGAGGCCACACCCCCCAGTAACTGATTTCTCTCAGTTCAAATGACTGTGTCAACAGACATAACACGAATTACCTCACTGAGGTTCTGTCCTTGTTTAAATATCAAACCAGTTTCCTGGGCAATAGAGTAAGGTTTAACCTCCTTTCCAATACACCTTGCACAGGGGCTTTCAGGCACCGAAGGAAATGCTTCCTGACAGATGAGTGTCAAGTGTTTCTGTCCTCTATAAATAGCCAATTATTAGCTTTTCACACTATAAAGCTTCAAATGGAAAGGTCCTGTTTCTCTCTCTCTGGACTAGGAGGCTAGGGAAGAGCTTAATGACACACAGGAATGCTATCAACCGTCTAAGGGTAAGGGAAAAAAGCATATCTGTACGCTAGGGACACACCAAGGTGGTGGTGGAACTCTGGCACCACAGGGGGGCAGTTCTGGCACTAACCTTCGGCTTTCCCCTTACCTGCAGTGTGGACAGGTGTGTTTGCTGGGAGAGCAGTGCTTTCTCTTGCTCGGAGGGATAGGCATTGTATCTGTGTTCATACAGCCAGTCCCGCAGGATCTGGACAGACTCCTTGGGCAGATTGCCTCTCCTCCTTCTCTTGCCAGAGGCCGCTGAAGAGGAAAGGTCCAGGGGAATATCCATGCTGTCCTCATCCTCAGTCTCACTGCCGGATGCTGCAACAATGCCTGAGAAAGGACAAGGGCCCACTGTCACTCACTTGTATCAGCAGGGGAACCATCTCAAAGCTCATTTGTTTAGACTACTCCATCCCCTTGTGTTTTCTCAACCACGGAGTGTGAAGTTCTCAGTCTGGGCAGGGTCTCCATAGAAAGGCCTGGGGAGTAGTCCGACTGTAGACACTCACCCACTTCATTCCCAGTCTTTCTTGCTGTTGGCAACTGAGATATAACTTTTTTTTTTTTTTTAACATGATGCTTAGAAAAGACAAATTGCACTCGAAGGGAGTAAGTCATCACACTCGAAACAGGAAGAGTGCTGGGCAGTGCGGGAATGTACCTCACTACCCTGTCTTTAAGGTCACTGCTAACTAGAGACAGTACTCCAGTGAATAAGTACATTTTTTTCCTTTCATGAAAGGTTCGCTTTGAAAACAAGCACCGTACATTTTTATATACTTGGATGTTCCCTTAAGCTGTCAATTAGATATGAACTTCGAATGCTACCCTACCCATCAGTCTTTAATTCTTACATGACAAAGAAAATTGAATATGCAACCCACAAAGGAAGCCATTTTGGTGGTAAATACTTTAATCCTACCAGAAATGCTAAGAATTCCCAAACCCTACAGAGTATTTAAATCAGAGTGCAATGAAAATTCAAGCCAGCTTGACTTTTGCAGACATTTTAACATATTTTGAACTTTAAAACATTTTATCTAACAAATGCCGTTAACTCCTACAAGTCGGGCAATGTAAACTTTATCATCTATGAAACTGTGTTTCTGGTTGAGGGGAAAGTTTTCAAAGATGTATATTTTTAAAGCTTTGGTATAGCTTTTTATTCTATCTTAACTGAGTCCCTCCCTTTACTGATCCAGGAAATAAAAACAGAATACTCTTCAGAGTGATACACCAACTCCATGAATTTTAAAGAATTTTTTTACAACCTGGAGCAGACTGACTTTGTTGACACATTTTTAGCTTTGGACTGCAGGGGGCAGAAGATGCTAGAAGGCATTCCTACAGGAAAGGCCCAAATCCAACAAAGACAAAGTAAAAGCAAGTTCTAACAAAAGAGGCAGATGATTTTGCAAATTCACTGTAGCTTAAGGCTTAACAAACTGCCAGAAATAACCACATACACCCTCCATTTTTAACTGCCACACAATTGAAGGTCCCTTCCTAAAGATGCAATTAGTATTTCGAGAAAGAAAAAGTCTAAAGAAAGGGCAATTTTAAAACCGAAAGTGATATCCTTGTACAGAGTCTGAGCAATTTTAAAAGTCCCATATTGAAATTTGGGTGAAAAACCATTTAAAAAAAAAAAAAAACTCTTCGATTATAAATGAGTTCCTGTTTCACATTTGCTTTGATAACCAAGGAAATCTCACTTTTAAACATGCCAGGTTAATTGGGTAACTAAAAGCATTTGAATAAAGCAATTTGCTACAACTCCCCCAACTTCAGAAAAGCCAGACACTCTATTCCCTGCCTCCTCCTTTTAAATCTAGGAGGGGGAAAGTGTGAAAATTTGCTCATTGAACAGTTAATTCCCAACTGTAAATTGGCAATAACAAAGTGCTTGAAACAAAAAACCCCTAAAGTCTGGCCTTTGATCTGATCCCTCGGGTGTGACAAGAAGCGCGATCTTTCAGAATAGGTTTAGGGACACAAAACAGGTTTCAGTTAGGCCGCACCAAACTGCCACCCCTGTTCATCTGAGAGAGAAAAAAAAGAAAGGAAGGAAGGGAGGATGGATGGATGGAAAGGAGGAAGAGAGGGGAGGGAAGGAGGGAGGAGGGGGAGAGAGGGAGAGTGAGAGAGAGAGCCAGCCAAGGCCCTCTTCACAAGTATTTCCAAAGCATGCACAAAGGCTGAAGGAACAGGAAGTTGAGACTCGGTGCCCTGGGCGCGCCAGCTGATGTGTTCAGCTCTGCTGGACCACGTTTGCTACTGTCAGGGCTGCTTCCATTAAAACTCCCTCCCGACCCGATTGTGGCTCGACTTGGAAAAACAAAGGCTTTTTTCCTCGTTACTCATTTCCTACTGTAACGGGAGCTTTTTAAAAGTTTCCCGGTCAGGACTTGTTTCCAATAGTCTTGCTTTGCTTACACTTTGAAAAAAAAAAAATGCGGTTGGGGAGGGAGAGGGGTGGGTGTGGGACAGAATCACAAGCCTCTTACTCTACCCACATACAAGGAAATGTTGTTCAGAAAGCCACAAGATGGCCTGTGGATCCCATGGCTCTAAGAAGCAAATCTTGCTTCTTCACTTTCTTTTTCTGACGCTCTGAAACATCGAGGTTGGGGGTGGGAGAGCTTGGATTTTAAAGCCCTAATGGAGACCAGAAAAAGAATGGGGGGGAAAGATCAAAGGAAAAGTTTAAGAAAAAACAAACTTAACAAGTCTCCCCTCTGGACGAGTAACTCGGATGGAACTTCACACCCAAGTCCCTAAATCCACAGCGCAGCCCTGAACTGAGTCAACAGGCTTGGAGCCCCCGCGAGGACACTTGGGGGTTTTCCCAGGCGAGCCTTCTTCTTCCAGGCTGTTCCGAAGCCATTTTTGGAGCTCTTTCGGGCCGTCTCGGCTTTCTATGAAGGCACTTGATTATCAGACCAGTCTTTGTTCTAAGGAAAGTTGAAAGGATGTTCAGACTTTCCAACGGCGGACAATAGGCGGGACAAGGTTTAAGCAGTCCTGGCCCAAGGACAGGGAAGCTTGCCCTCCCCTCCCAGGTAGTCTCAGGCAGGAGGAGGCAGGGCAGTGGAGGCTCGCAGGAGAGGGAGGAGCCCGAGGAGAGAGAGCAAGCAAGCAGCTTTTGTTCTTTGGAGTTCTTCACCCCTGACTGAAGCCCGCTTTGCTAACCGTTCAAGTCAGCAACTGAGCTGGACCGTGGTCCCCAAGGAACTCGAGATGGGGCGGTGCTGCGGCTCACTGCCGCCTCGGGGGTCTGCCCCCGTCCCAGACCATGTGCTGGGGAAGCCTAAAAAGGGAAAGGAGCCCGGGCAACCTCCGCGGTCTCCGCTCTCTCCCCACCAGAAGCTCCGAGGCGGCGGCAGCAAAGTTTCCCCTCCAACACGTCACCGTTCATTGTTTCCACGAGTTGGGGATTGACTCGCGGGACCCACGCGCCCTGGGCTGGGGGAACCTCTTGATGTTTTCCCCAGACCTTGCATCCGTGGAAGGGGACACCCGGGAGGGTGGTACCTGAGTAGGAGGCTTGTAGTCAGCCCCCCTCCCCACCCACGGAAACGCAGCTTTGCGTTTTCACTCAAAACCGAAACAGCCTCCTGTAGGTGCGGTCGGGACAGGACGCCTCCCACCCGGTCTAGATCTGTCAGTCAAAGGGTGACAGGGCTCTGCAGAGGATCCCCAAGCCTTCCCCAGTGCTCAGTTAAACAAACTCGGTTCCCAACTCTAAGCGCCCAGGCTCTCCCTGTCCCGGGATGGAGGTGGGCAAGGAGGCCTACTTAACCAAGTACCCGGGGTCTTCATGAGTTCCCGAGTTCCGTAGTTTCGGGGTCTCCCACGGAACTACATCGGCACAACTCTACAGGGCAGAGAGCCGGGAGGAACCCCGAGGGGTGTGTGTGTGCGGCGGTGGCCAGCGCAACCGTGTTCCGTTGGAACTGCAGTCGTTGGAACTGCAGCCGCGGTCGGGGTCTGAAAGAATGTGGAGTAACAAACTCGTGGAAGCTCTTGGGCATGCGCAGCAGCGCACCCCCCCCCCCCGCCAGCTTCCCCAAGCGATTAACTTCTGTTTTGAACCACTCCACATAAATCACAACAGAAAAGCCAACTCTAGTCCACGACTGAACACTCGAGGGACCTCCCAGTCAGGGACTCCAAAGTTAGCTTCAAAAGGGACTTCACAGGCTTTTGACCTTTCGGGTTTTTTTTTTCCCCCTCCCCTGTGTATTTTGTTTTTAAATCAGATTGACGGCAAGTTTGAGTTGTAAAGCTTGGTGGAAACAATGACAGTCTCGCTCTTTGCACTTACAACCAAGCCTGCTTGTCACACTTGGACACATTCTGACTGCATGGTACTGGTATTCTAACAGCTCACGCTGTCCTAAATTCATCGTGGGAAAACTTTTAGAAGCTAGTAATTTTAAAAGTCCAGCTTTCCAAGGCTATGCTCACCCTAAGACCATGTGTGGGTCCGGGATCACATTCCTTTGACAGTGAAAAAAAAAAAACACATCCCTAAAAACAGTACCAGGGTCTGGTGAGCAGTGAGAGCACCCGGAACCGAACTTTTAGACAAAAGGTAAGGGCGGCTGGAATGCGCCAACGACCCCCCACAGGGAAAAGCGAGGTGTGAGGGTCTCCTTAAACACCCACCCCACAACCCTGTCCCAGACACAGCACTAGAAACCACGCGGCTGGGCCGAGCATGGGGTGTCAGCGAAGACAATGAAACTTGGAGGCGCACAAACAAGGCGCTGAGCGTGTTTCTTGACAACGTGCCAGCAGCGTGGTGAGGCTGTCTCCCCACAACAGCCCCTCGTGTTGTGTCTAGAAGGAAAGGAACAGCAACTGCCATTTGAGACAGAGCCTCAACAAAGAGAACGGCCACCTCTCCAAGCCCGGGTGCCACCGGGCGGAAAAGTCCACCAAGTCAGTGTCCCCCGCTCCGGCGCGGCCCGCACATGTCCCGCACTGGTGCCTCGGGGGCTCACAGCCCGCCCGCAGCCTTACCCTTTTTGCTTTTCATTCTGGAACTCCCGTCCCAGCGAGAGGTGAAGCTGGGGTTCCTAGGGGCCAGCAGTCGGAGTGGCGGTGGGGGGGTGCGGGCGATGATCCTCCTTTACAGGCGCTCGGGGAACTTACAGGAGAGTATTCCAGCCACTATTGCTAAACAAGGTGCTTGGGTCCCAGGCGCTGGCTCCCAGGGTTGGAATTCAAGTGACACTTGGGCTTCCTCCAGCCAGGATCTTCTGGCAGCCAGCCGGGGGCTCTCCCTGGCCCAACTCACTCCCCTCCCTACTCAACTCCTTTGTTTCCCGCTCCACTCCGCGCACCTCGGCGCTGTCAGAGTGAGAGAGCAGAGGGAAGGTACAGGAGGTCCTGCCTCCGCCCCCAGCCGCCCGCCCAGTCCCCCGCCCGCCCGCCCCGCCGCTCCTCTGCCCCTCCCCCGCACCTTCCAGCTCAACAGCCCTGGTCCGGGGGGCCGCGGTCACCGGTCCCTCTCGGGGGGTGGCGGAGCCCACAAACAGGGTCATGCCCGCCTGCCTGTAGCGCTAGTACGGTCCACATCCCTCAGCCCTCGGCGGCCACACCGGCGTCTCCTTAGGGAGGCCTTTCCTCCCGGGTGAAGAGTGCGTTTAGTTTGCAACAGATGGGGAGAGGGTTAAAGACACCCCCTCCCCCCCCCCGCTTTGTCCACCCCAGGAAAGAAAAGACACCCCCAGCCTTGTTTTTGACAGCTGCCCCAAACTCCACTTGTCCCGGCTCCAGCCGCAAGAGGCAGCGGCTTCTGATTCAAGGGGTGGGGCAGAAGAGGAAAAGTATTCCGGACAAGAACCAACTTCTTCCAGAAGGCGCAGCTGCCATTGACACGCGGGCGCGGCGCGGCGCACCCTTCTCCGCGTGGACTCTTTCTTGA